ACAACTTTGCAGTCATTGGAGAAGTTTTAGTTGATTTATTCTTGGAACAAGGCCACATAGAGACTTCTAGCCTTGCCAGCTTTCTCTCTTGAGTTTGGACCTTGTTTTAAATTCTGTTTAGGGTGGGCCTGGGACCCCATCTTTTGTAATGGAGGAATGGGACTATCACTGAGGGGCCAGTCTCTACAGGTAGGTTGCCTACTAGTCATAACCCCTAGTTAAGCTCTGGCAAAGTCCTTGCATAGTCTATTGGTTCTTCAGGCATTTTGTCAAGTCAAGTCTGTGGACTCCCATGGTTGAGTGAAATCATAATGAAAATATATTCATTACTGGATTTATGGACGAGTATGCTGTGTAATAATAGGAATTTATGTAATAGAGGAGGACAGCAATGGAAAATTTATACCTTTAAAAAGGTTATAAAATGGGATTTCAGATTTAGCTGTAAATCATTTGAAATATCTGTCTATAATGCTTGAAATGCAGTGCTCAGGTAGCTAAGCTCTTGGTCTGACCTAGAGAAAGTTACAGTGTGGAAGTTTCAATGACCTACCTCTATGAAACTGTTAATAAGTAATGATAGACAAGTGATTAGGTTAGGAAGGAGAGGATGTGGTATCCCCAGTTGTTGGAGAATACTTTCTGGAGGTGGGACTTGATTTGAAAACCAGCTTTAACTACTGAGAGAATAAGACTTTTGTCTCAGGTTTCCTGAGTTTAAATCCTGGTGCTACCTTTTTGCCATGTGATTTTGGATGTCAGGAATTCTGCCTTGTTTTGGTCATCCAACATTTCACTGTAAAATGTTGAAAGTGCTTTTGAGGGCTGGGAATGTAGCTCATTTGTTCAGAGCGCTTGCCTAGCATGCTCAAAGCCCTGTATTCAGTTCAGCAAACACAAAACAAAACACACACAAAATGCTTTTTTGTGTTAATTAAGTCTTCATAACAACCGAAATACATTAGATATTTTTATAGGGTTTTGTTTTGTTTTGATACTGGGGATTGAATCCAAGCATGCTTTACCAACTGAGCTATATCCCCAGTGCTTTTTATTTTTTGAGACAGGGTCTTGCTGAATTGCTGAGGCTGGCCTTGAATTTTGTCTTCCTATCTCAGTCTCTTGAGTTGCTGGTATTAGTTGAACACTAATGGGCCCAAGCTAGATATTTCTAAACCTACTTTATAAGAGGGGAAGTTGAGGCTATAGATTAAATAATTTTTCTTCAGCTCATATGTGGGTTCTACCCCCAGCACTGAAGAAAAGTCACATGGCTAACAAAGTGCTTGATCGAGGAATTGAACCACCATTTGAACCATCCAGGACTTTGCTTGTTATCTTTATGGTATGCTAGTGTTGAGAGAGGGTCAAATAAGAACATGTGACAAGTTCTCATTAAATGCTAGCCATCATAGATTGAGATGGCTATAGCACACAGCTCTGAGCAAAGACTTTGGATGAAGTTGTGAGTGCAGCACCTGAGTTACAGTGAAGGCAGTGAATTTTTATGAGTTATGCCTGGGATTGACTTAGGCCAATGGACTACACAGGTTTTGGCTACCTTTATTCTCTTGCAGTACTACTCTGTGTTGGATAAGAAGAAAGGTTACTATGCATGGTTAGGAACTTTATAGGCGGCTAAGGGTATATGGCTGGAGGGGGATTAGAGGCCTGAGAAGCCTGTTTGGTTGGCTTACTGGCTCCCTAGGACCATTCATAGAGAATTTGGGCATTTATCCTATCTGTAATTCATTTCTGGTCCAGGAACCAGATTTAAGAGTATAAATTGTAATTTTCACCCCTAAGGGTGTGAGGCTAATATAGATTATTTGTATCTAAGTCTTCACTGACATTACTGTTTACCCTTACATGTGGAATTTTGTCCATTTCCCTTTCAAAAGTCTAGGCTCATTTCTCATTTATATGCATGTAATATTATCCCTCCTGTTTAAGGTTTGTAGCCAGGTGTGCTTATTTATACATATTTATGCTTTTGATAAAATGTCATTCTGGATGACTTGGGACAAGTTACTTTACCTTTTAGGAACTTGGTAGCCTGATCTGCAGTCCCCCACCTCCCTCCCAAATCAGCAAACTTGATCATCAAAATGTCTGGACTTGGTAGTACAGGCCTATATAGACCATAGACTTGGGAATCTGGGGCTGAAGGATCACTTGAGCTCAGAAATTTAAGGTCAATTGTGCAACAAAAGTGAGAGCCCCATCTTAAAAAAAAAAAAAAAAAAAAAAAGGCAGGCATGTTGGTGATGCCTGTAATCCCAGCAGTTTAGAAGCTGAGGCAAGGCAGAAGGATCGCAAGTTCAAAGACAGCCTCCAGAAACTTAGGTCCTGGCTCAAAAAATGAAAAGGACTGGAGATGTGGCTCAGTAGTTAGGTGCCCCCAGGTTCAATCCTTGGTACCAAACCAACCAAACAAAACCCGAATCACTAAAATGGTATCTACAATGTTCCAGACAAGGGTCTGTTAAACATTGTGTCATTCTGTCTCAGAGTGATGAATAAGGGATTAGTTGTCTCCCCCCACACACAATTTAAGCTGTATTTTCAGTAAAATAATAAACATACATATGAAGACACTTAAGCTACAAACCTCTCTTCCCAAAGCTTCATTTGTCAAAGTGCTCAAAATCTCTTAGCATAGATTATCTCTGGCTTTTGGCCATCTACTTTTTGTTGAGGGAGATTGGAAAATTAGACTAGCTACTATGAATAAAGATACATCTTTTCAGTACTGATGAGTGTCCAGGATTTTGTTTTGTTTTTCCTCTTTGCAGTGTTAGGGATGGAACCCAGGTCCTTGCACATCCTGGGCAAAAACCTGAATGCTAAGCTACATCCTCAGCCTGGTTCAGGTTCTTAATCTAATACTGACTGGAAATCAAACTCACCTCCTTTTGGTAATCAAATTAACACATGCATTCGTTCTTTTATATTTTAACTTAGCAAATATTGGAGTGTCTTCAAGGTGCCAGGTGCAGTTTTAACATTAGGAATATGGTATGGAATAAGTATTTGCCAGGAACAGGAGAGGGACAGAAAATGAAAAGATAGAATTTCAAGTAGTAGGATTTGGAAAAATAGCATTGTGTTATGAGATAGAGTTGCAAGGCAAGGTTGGAGTAGAGGAAGCCTTTAAATGGCGCCGGGGGGGGGGGGGGGGTGGCAATAAAGGATCTGCAGAAAGAATATTCCAGTCTGAGCTTGGTACAATAAGGCTCTTGTGTCTAGAGGGGGGTAGTGATTAAACAGATTGAGAGATTTCAGGAAGAACTTGATTTAATAGGGTATTAGAGTCCAGGGAGAGGAGTTTGGATTTCCCTCCCAGTTGTAATTGGTTTTAAAAAAGCCTGGGGATGTTTTAATTGGTTAGTTGGGTGACTTGCAAAAGCAAGTTATGACTAGATCTGGTGAGATTTCAGAAGGCAAATCCAGTAATTAGATTGAGTGTCCTTGGGTATCTGCACACTGGCATGAATGGTGGTCCTAAAATGATGTCTCCAGCTACAGATAGATGTAGCTCAGCAGTAGAGCTTTTTGCATGAGGCCCTGGGTTTGATCCCTATCACTGCAAACAAAAAACAACCCAAAAGATGAGTATTCCTGTCTCAGATTTGTAGAGATTGAAGTGAGTTGACTTCATATTCTTTGGTACTCTAGAAGAAAGTTTTGTTTGCAGGGTTTCTGGAACACAAAAATTGGAAGATCACACTGAAAGGAGATGAGAGATGTGTATCTTATTATGTGTTTTGATTACCACCAAATGCTGGTCCCCTTGGAAAAGACATGTTCAACACACTTTAACTAGAATTGGTTTTCTTCATTACCAAACCTGTGGGTTAACAGTCTTGGTGGTGCATCACAGTCCAAGATGAGAAGGAACAAGATTAGTAACCACATCTCCAAAAGTCATGTTTTTTATTTTTAAGGACCTTGCCTTTTTCTACCCTAGAATAAGCTCCACCAGTTTTCTACTATTGGATTCCTAATCATGTTGGGTTATAAAATCCACCTTTTTTGTTTAGTACTCTGACTTCACCTTTTGCTTTACAAAATTCCTTAATCTTGTTCTTTTGTGGCTGCTTTGGGTGGTAGTATATTCTGTTTGTGTCATCTCCACTCCTGATGATCCCTTTCGTCATCAACAATTCACTGCTTTGGCTTGTTTTGTTCATATTTTAAGTTTTTACATCCAGCACTTGCATCCCCCTTTCCCCTTTAACTTCCTCTTCAAAAAAGCTGCTTTTGCAAAGGGTCTTGACTGAAGTTGCTTGCTTAATGAACAGGGGATCAAATGAAGCAGCCAAAGAAAGGGTGAGGAAGAAAATGTGATGAGGGAGTGAGACCCTGTGAAGAATGTTCTTGATTGTATTTGTTTACAGCTGATTGTGACAATGCTCTTCCCTCTAAGGTCGGTTGGGGTGGGGGGTGTTAAACCTACAGCTCTGGTTGATGGCACCCAATAAAATAAAACAACAACAAAAAAAACCTTTGCTGCTCCCGTTTTTTCTTAGGGAGGGGGTGTGGGGGTGTGTTTCATTTTGGATCCTGGGAGGCTGCTTGCTAGAGGGAACTTGGTCTCTCCCCTCTGGCCGGCCTACTTTTGGGCCATCACACCTGGTCAAGCGGGACCTACTGACTGTTGCAGAGTTCCTTTCACTGCCCACAAGTAGTTTTAAATTTGCGGGCAGCTTCGGGGCTTTCAGGGCTACAGTGCGAGTTACTAGCCTGAGAAGGTTGATTTTCTCAGGTGGGAGTCCTCGCTGTTTTCTTACCTGGCGCGGTGTCTGAGTAAGCTATGGTCCACAGCATCCAGGATGCGAGGTGGGTGGCGTTTGGGAGTTTAGAGGGGGAAACTTGGAGTAGGGGACAAAGTGGAGTGCAGAATGCTTTCGCGTTGTGCACATGGAAGTGTCGAAACGTGGAAGCTTAACAAAGTTGGCGCCATGAAGCTACCGACTGCTACACCGGGGCCCTCGCTCACTCCGCCTAATGGCGGGCCGCCAGTCGCCGGTGAAACCCACGTTTGTGGTTCCTCCCTCAAGCCGACCTCTTACCCAATCAGTGGCTTCGGCCTCTCAATGTTGGTGCTCATTGGCTTTCGCATAAAAGCTCTGGGGTTACTGACGTTTCCACCTCTTCCCGGCCTCTCAGGTAATTGGCGTTCGCGGTAACCAATCAAGAGGAGGATCTTCGGGAACGCCTGCCATTTACTTTATTGAACGACCAATCCGGTGGATAGGTCACCTCCCCCTCTCTACCCAGAGTCACTGCTGCGGCCGCCGCCATTTTAGCGTTTTGTCAGAAGCGTCCGTGCCGCGAGGAAGAGGCCCTCCCGATTTCTGTGCGGTGAGAGACTCCGAGCCCTTCCACTTTCTTTCCTTTGCTTTGTAAGATCTTGTCTCACTACCTTGGGCGTCGGGGGTGTCCTGGTTGGGTCGCGGCCTGCGCGCCCGTCACTGAGAGACGACCTCGGTCCTCGGCATTGCGCGGTAAGCCTGAAGCAGCCCTTCCCCCAACACCTCCCGCCCGAGAATACCTGGCTTTCCCCCACCCTGCCCCCTACCCTACTTGGCTCTGCTTCCTGCCTCGAAGTTTTCTTTGAGATAACCCCATTGTCCTTAGATGGAGCATTTGCAAGCCTGTCTTGAGAGTTTCTCAGGACCTGGGACATTTGTTGTCTGGTTAATGAACCTGAAGCCCCCCTCTGGCCAGGCATTTCTCCATTCTGCAGGCGCTTGTAGGCTGGTACCTTCAGAGAGGCGTTCCCCACTCAGACGCTTTTCCGGTACTCTGCACGCCGCGCTATCTGGTCTCATTCCCGCCTTCGTTACTTCTAAAGGAAGGTCCTAAAAGCTATTCCAAGGCCCACTTTTCCGGAAATGGTGGCTGCTAATGTTACTGCGGGAGGAAGAGCCAAATTGTAGTTGCAGGCAATCAACCAACAAGCCCAGTAGTTAGATTTTTGTCGTATAATTGACCACCTAGTGGGCAGAAAAGCTCAGTGTCCCCAGATGTCCATTTATTTTCACTTTTATTCGCATTCTTTGAAGGTATCTAACTCTTAAACTCTAGCTACTAAGGACCTGTTAGACGTGTTCTCATTCCTAGAGGTTCTCAGGCGGGTTCCTTAGCAGGCCTGTTTACTTCACTCCCATCTCCTTTTGATTACTGTGTGGAGATGTGAGTGTGAAACAAAATTGGAAACATATGCTAGTGAAGGAAGATGGCAGTGGTGAGCCCCGCCCCCCCCCCCCCATTAACCTAAGGTCTTTTGTTAGAAATTTTGTTTCTTCTTTCTCAGGCTGTTTCGAAATGGTGAAGCTGTTCATTGGAAATCTGCCCCGGGAGGCCACAGAGCAAGAGATCCGCTCACTCTTTGAGCAGTATGGGAAGGTGCTGGAATGTGACATCATTAAGAACTACGGCTTTGTGCACATAGAGGACAAAACTGCAGCTGAGGATGCCATACGCAACCTGCATCACTACAAGCTTCATGGGGTGAATATTAATGTGGAAGCCAGCAAGAATAAGAGTAAAACCTCAACAAAGTTGCATGTGGGCAACATCAGCCCCACCTGCACCAACAAGGAGCTTCGGGCCAAGTTTGAGGAATATGGTCCAGTCATTGAATGTGACATCGTGAAAGATTATGCCTTTGTACACATGGAGCGGGCAGAGGATGCAGTGGAGGCCATCAGGGGCCTTGATAACACAGAGTTTCAAGGTGAACCACTGTCTTTGGGTAGAGAGCTGAACACAAGGCTCTGTGCAGAAAAATGTTGGGTAAATAAAAGAGTTTGGGGGTAGAGATAACAGCTGTTGCTTGGTTGGTGATGATGGATTTAAGTATGGGTGAGGCACTTAAAATGAAATGGAAAATGCATGAGTTTTAAGGGCTTTATCTTGGGCAAAAAAAGTCTCCTGGGAAAAACTTGGTTTTCATTTGGAACCCCTAAGGCTTTTGTGCCTCTCAATATAGAAATCCTTTTCTTTTGAAGACTTCTAATTATTGTGTCGTTTTCTTCTTTTAGTAGCAGGGCACATTGTAGAGAATTTCACTGTGTTGCCTCAGCACCACAGTATCACCACGATGCCTTATTTGACATAAGAAGAACTAGTTAAAGCAACAGTTTAGGGCAGAATTCCTATTAAACTCCCCACCTTACCCCAGCTTTTACCTTTACAGTAACCATAACTAGTCTTTTTTTTTTTAAGTTTTTTTTTTTTTTTTTTTTTTTTTTAGTTGTAGTTGGACACAATACCTTTATTTTATTTGTTTGTATGTGACAGTACTGAGGATCGAACCCAGGGCCTCACACGAGTTAGGCAAGTGTTCCACTGCTCAGCCACAACCCCAGCCCACCATAGCTAGTCTTTAAAAGGTTATTGGTCTAGTCCATTTGCATTGTGTTTGTAGTAATCCTGAAAAACACTCTAGGATTAAGACTGATTTTGGGAATCTTGGGAAGGAAGCATGGAATTTGGGGGCAGTAAGGGCATGTCTTAAAATTGGTTTGAGGGGGTGATGATCTGACTTAACATCTTTGGTGCATAGAGTACTTAGATGAGTGTGTTACATTGGAGCCTTGATTAGATGAGTTGTTTTTGTGCCTAGAAGGCCGCATGGGTGGTAATGTGAATTATCAGTGTATTTCAGAGGTATTGTTATTCTTCTCTTGGTTTATGCTGTTAATTCCTTTGGCAAGAGTAGCATTTAGGAGATAGTAACTATGATGAGTTGTCAGCTGAACTCTCAACTCTTCTCCCATCTCTTTGGGTCTCCAATGTCAAAAGCTGCCTCCCTTTGGTTGTAATTAAATTCCAAATTGGTAGTACATTCCCATAACTCATGACTATTTCAAGCCTGTTTTTTTAACCATATCAACATGAACACTGTAAGGGCTAATTCTTTTCCTGAGTACTTGCCTTATTGTGAAGCAAGTACTGCCATCTTTGGTGTTCAGTTTACTTAAATTGGGCCTTAGAGCTGGAGGTCTAATCATTCCCTCATATAATAGGTTCCCTGTGTCATGGGTATTACTATGCATTATTAAAGAAAAGTTTCACAGGTCTCCTGGGTCTAGGTTGCTTTCCTTTTTTAATTGGCTAGTTACGAGTTATTTTGTCAACAACTTAATTGGGAACAAAGACTGCTCTTGTGAAGGGTTGTGATGTTATGTGTGATTTTTGGACACTTCCACATTTTAACCTAGCCATAGAAGCAGTGTCTCCTAGTAGCAGTTCCATGGGTAAGGGGAGGACATGTGATCTATTCAGGACAAGTGATTTTTTTTTATCTGATCATTTGATCTCTAGGTTAGTTCTGATATAATCTATGATTATTTTTTCTGTATATTCTTTAGTGTAACCCATTCATTTCTTTTTGGTTTTGGTGGTGCTGGGGATCAAGCCCAGGACTTTATACACACTAGGCAAGCATTGTACCACTGAACTACATTCCCAGTCCTTCTTTTTTTCTTTCCTTTTTTTTTTTTTTTTTTTTTTTTGTGGGGGTGGGCTGTAGGTGCAGGGTGTCTTGCTGTGTTTTCATGCTGGCCTGGAACTCCTGGGCTCAAGCAGTCATTTTGCCTGGCATTACTCTTTCTAGTAAGTTATGTGAGTGTGTTGAGTAGTGATAAATACTAGACTGGCCTTTTTCCATTTCAGTTTCTTAGTGTTGCGTATATCCTCTATTGTTTGCCCACTCAAAGAAGTTGATTCTAGATATTTTTTAAGATTTAGGTCTTTTTCTGGCATTAGAATTGACAAATCCACAGATCATCAGTGCATTTGTTAATAACATCTATGTTTTGAACTACATAGTTGGTTTCTTGATTGCACTTACTTTCCCTGTATTTGTTACCTGCCAAAGTGGTCGCCTGGGCAAATGCCAGACACAGGCTAGCACTTCAAGGTATTTAAGTACTTAATTGCCTTAATTCTTTTAATGACCGTGGACTTAACCAGATGTAATGTTAAAACAGACTTTTCTTTCTTTTATTTGGGTTCCTCCTCCACCTAGAAGTCTCCTGTAATCTGACTTTAATTTTGCAGGTAAAATTATGTATTTACCATTTTTCCTCATTAGAAGACCCATCTATTGACTCCTCCTTGGTTCTAACCATTCACCTCATTAACATCTGTATGTTTGGGTGCTTGTAGCTAGTTGCATTGGAGACTTTTCACTTGGATCCCTTCTGAATTTTTGCTTATCAGTAAATCGGTAGATCTTGTTAGGTGGGCATTGCATATCTGAAGAGATTTAGAAGTTTTAACTTTTCCAAAAAACTTTCCGCTTTTGTTAGTTTTTTTTATTTTCAGAATTCAAATTGTGATTTTCAAAGAAAAATAGTATTAGGTGTATATTAGACTCTGTCTTTCTTGAAGGAGAGAAAGCACTTTAATCTTGCTGAACTGAGTAGTTTGGTCTACTAATTTATTCTCCATTTTCCACTTTTCTTATCCCCCTTTTCTTCCATGGTTTGTAATTCTTTCTAGAAATTGAAGTTTTTGTGAACAACTTGGCCTGTTTTCCTTTCACCAAGTAGAGGGTCACTAAAATTAGCTGTCATATTGTAAAGAATTCTTATTAAAATGATGATTAAAACCAGCAATTTAAAGCACCCAGTTAAGAAAGAAGACTTTCCTTGAATTTGTATTGTGTCCCCCAAGCTCCCAATTTTCCCAAATTACCATTGTCAGTCCTAGATCAAATCCTGGTCTTTTTTTTTTTTTTTTTTTTTTTTTGGTGGTGGTACCAGGGATTGAACCCAGGGGGCACTCGACCATTGAGCTACATCCCCAGCCCTAGTTTGTATTTTATTTAGAGACGGGATGTCACTGAGTTGCTGAGAGCCTTGCTAAATTGCTGAGGCTGGCTTTGAACTCGCGATCCTTGTGTGTCAGCCTCTCAAGTCACTCGCCTCCTGAGTTACAGGCGAGCACCACCGTGCCTGGCCTGGTTAGTCTTAAATGGTGGCATACTTAGAGTTTTTAATTCTCTCTAATTTTGGGTGGTGGTGGTAGGGATATGGAACTGGCTTTTGCATCTTGTTCAAATCGAATTCGCCTTGATAGTGAAGGTTGGAGATGTCAGAAACCTGTGATGTACATATTTTGAGTATCTTTTATGTCTGGCCACTGACTGAAATACATTTTTGCCTGTGTTATTTGGTAATGGATGAGATGTTTGTTTTTGAGCGAGAGTAGTAAATCGTGGCATTGCTGTAACATTTCTTCATCTAGTTGATCTTTGCTGGAAATCAGATCATTATACTGAATTTATATGTTGGACCCTTTTTAAAAAAAATTTTTTTTGGCAGTGATGCATTAAGAGTTGTCTAGGTAAAGTCATTGCTATGATCAATGGCTGGGGTGTAGGGGCTTGGGCTATGACTAAGAGTGATAGCAACCCTTCTTGCGTCTGTTTCTTCAAGGCAAACGAATGCACGTGCAGTTGTCCACCAGCCGGCTTAGGACTGCGCCCGGGATGGGAGACCAGAGCGGCTGCTATCGGTGCGGGAAAGAGGGGCACTGGTCCAAAGAGTGTCCAATAGATCGTTCGGGCCGCGTGGCAGACTTGACCGAGCAATATAATGAGCAATATGGAGCAGTGCGTACGCCTTACACCATGAGCTATGGGGATTCGTTGTATTACAACAACGCGTACGGAGCGCTCGATGCCTACTACAAGCGCTGCCGAGCTGCCCGGTCCTATGAGGCAGTGGCGGCTGCAGCTGCCTCTGCATATAATTATGCAGAGCAGACCCTGTCCCAGCTGCCACAAGTCCAGAACACAGCCATGGCCAGTCACCTCACCTCCACCTCTCTCGATCCCTACGATAGACACCTGTTGCCGACCTCAGGAGCTGCTGCTGCCACTGCGGCTGCAGCAGCAGCAGCTGCCGCTGCTGTTACTGCAGCTTCCACTTCATATTACGGGCGGGATCGGAGCCCCCTGCGTCGCGCTACAGCCCCCGTCCCCACTGTTGGAGAGGGCTACGGTTACGGGCATGAGAGTGAGTTGTCCCAAGCTTCAGCAGCTGCGCGGAATTCTCTGTACGACATGGCCCGGTATGAGCGGGAGCAGTATGCGGATCGGGCGCGGTATTCAGCCTTTTAAAGCTTGAGGTGAGAGCGGTGGGGTGTCTCCTGTTCTGGTTTGCCATCTCTCCTGCAGCCTATAAGGGCTCCAATTAGGCTGCCTGCTTGCTTGCTTTTGCAGGGTTAGGGTGAGGTTAATAAGCATGGTTCACAGTTTTGAGAAGTCCTAAATGCTTTAACTTTGAAGTAAGTAAATGTCCTTGGCCCTCCTGGCTATTTTTTTTTTCCCATGGCTCCCAGCAGTGGGAGTCATTTCAGATTGTGCCTGGAAGAACAAAGAATGGTATGCTGGTGATTCTTGGGTCACACCTATGTGCCATAATTGAACTGATCCTGGGACCCAGATGTTCAGACTCCGATATGCTGTTTCTCCAAGGCTTTGTTGAGTTTCCTAGGTGTGTGACATTATTGAGGTCTTCCAAGTTTCCTGTGTGCTTCCTGCTATTTGAAAGGTCTGATATGACCTCTATAAAGGCCATAACTATAGTTAATTGATCATCACTGCTCAGGTCCCAGTTAACTGTGAAGATGGCATCATCTTAAATCTTGAAGTGTATTTCTGAATTCTGGAACAGTTCAACCATTTTTTTGTTGTTTGTTTGTTTTATAGAAGTTACTTGAAAGAGCAGAAAGAAGTAGAAAACATCTCTTAAAAGTGCCCAGACTCCAAAATCCATCTTAGCTGCTCAGCTCAAGATTTATTCCTGAAATAAATGTTAAGTTCATTCTAGTATTTTTTGTTTTTAAACTGTTCCCATAGTGCTAAGTTTAATGTCCTTAATTTCCTCAAGGTATATGGTTAATATACTCCACACCTGTTAATTTTACTCTCAGATAATGTTAAAACCAGGGTTGGGAGCTTTGCCATAAGCAGATTACTCCCTTCATCTTCACACAGGTTGTTGTGGACATTTAATATTCTTGAGCTACCAGCTTTACTTTGAGTCCTCTGGCTTTCTCCTTGAAATTGTTTGAACCTCATGATTCATTTGGCTCTATTTGAATATATTCTCTTTACATATTTGCTCCCTTTGGGCTCCAGTTTTTGAGATTACTGTTGCACTTAAGGGTAATTCCCAATGCCCCTTAGTTTTGAGTAGTCCCTAGAGTGTTCCCTACTTACCATTGATATCTTTAATACTGTAGGAACAGTGTAGGTGATATTTTGTCATCTTTCAATTAGGGCAGAAGGTATGCAATTTGCCCAGGTTCACTGGCTAGAAAATAACTGATTCGGCTAGAATAGAAACTTGAGTGACTTGATATAGCTTACACATACCCTCCTAGTACTTTTCTTTTCAAAGGTTAGTTTCTTCCCTAGGTGAAGTTGGATGCCCTCAGGTCTTAGAACTTGTTCAGTTGATAATAACTACCTTTGTCTAGACTTTGAATGGTTTTTAACTTGGACCTTGGCAGTAACTCCCTGACTGAAACATGCTGGTGACTTTTTCACTCTAGAAGAAAACCTTTCCCTTTATCCTGTGCTGATGACAGTTTGTGATGTGGAATTACCTTTTCTGGGGGATGCTAATTTTAACATTAAGAGCAATGAAGTGTCTTTGCCTCTTATGAAAGAAGATTGACTGTTTAGAGAAAAACCTTAATCTGGAATTGTTTAGCAGTCCCAATTCTCTGTCCTTCAAGCTCTCTTTTGGAGATAATGATACTGGGGAACTAGTCCAAGTAAATTTAAAGAGTATCAAATTACCAGATTTTGTAAAGATGTTCTTTTGAAGTTTTAATTGGGAAATCCCTTTGAGCTTTGCTGTAAAGCCCCTTATTGTGCTCTCTTTCAGGTGGGATGTATGTGGGCTGAAATTCCGAGCTGCGGTTGTGCATGAGAATACACCCTTCGTGGTACCCCATCTCCGGGACGTTCTCGGCTCTGTGCGTTCAGTCCTCAGGAACCGTGGACCTTAATTTACCTTGCTAAGTTCAGACCTTCTCCTTTGTTTTTCTCTCTCCTGCCCATTTTCCTGTTGTTCAGTACTTCCTGTAGCTTTCCTGTTCACATTCTGTTCTCCCAGCAGGCCTCATTGTATGCAGAAACTGTGGTGGGGGCTATGCCGTTTCCTCCCCACCTCCTGCCAACACTGTGGGTGTTGGATTTGGGAATGACCTTGATGAGAGGGTCACTGCTCCTGGGTTTCTTTTGACCCAGAGGATAGACCTTATAGAATTGAAATCACTTTTTTTTCTTTCCGGTGAAATAAATGGTTTTTCAACTTAGGGTTTGTGTGCTTTGAGAGAGTTCTTGCTTTGGCTTGTTTTGTGGTTCTTAATTTGTACTTTTAAAGAGAAGGGGTGGGTGTGAAGTTGTTAATATATTGAGCTTCAGGTGAACATCATCATTACTTTATTGTAGGTAGGACTTAACAAGTGCCAAAGAGAAAAAAAGGTTATACTGAAGAACCCAGGCAGGTCACCTTATTCCAATGAAGACTTTCTTCCATTGGTCTATCCTTATTAAAAACAAAAAAATTCCAACTATTTACTATTAGTTTAAGAGGTGTAGGTTTTTCCCTGTTAGAGAAATAGTCATTACCTACCCTATGACTGCCATTCTAACCACCCATTCAGGTCTAAGAAAAGGAAGTGGTTTGGGGGAAAAAGGGGTTAGCTTTTACCTTTCATGTCATATGGGAAATGGAGCGATGGCTCCCACCAGAGAACATTTCACTACTTCCAAAAGCCAGTAATGCTTTGTGATTCCTTTTATCATCAATTTGTATAGTTCTGCTAAAATCTGAAGCATGTTTGAATGATGATGCTGCTCGCATCTCATAGCTTGTGCTAAACCTGGCAGATACTGAACAATGAGGATGGGGGCTGAATGCAAGGAAGAGCCGTTGCCTTTGGGGGGGGGGGCTACCAGGGATTGAACCCAAGGGGTGCTTAACCACTGAGCCACATGTTTTCCCTTTTTTATATTTTATTTAGAGACAGGGTCTTGCTGACTTTGGTTCTCACTGGGTTGCTGAGGCTTGTTTTGAACTCATTATCCCCTTGCCTCAACCTTCTGAGTCGCTGGGATTATAGAAATGCACCACTCTGTTCAGTTTATGGCCTCTTGTTTCTGTCAAAAGAGTTTCTTCTACATGTTTTTATTGTCTATACTTTGCCCCAGTTTCAACATACAGATTTGTGCCTACTCGGGGCATGTCTCAATATTTGCTAAGCAAACCCTGAACACTTGATGATAATGCCAAGCATAAGACTTTCAGGAGGGCTGGGGATGTGGCTCAAGTGGTAGCGCGCTCGCCTGGCATGCGTGCGGCCGGGGTTCGATCCTCAGCACCACATACAAAGATGTTGTATCCGCCGATAACTAAAGAATATTAAAAAAAAAAAAAAAAAAAGACTTTCAGGAAAGGGTTGTAATGAGATGTAGCAGCTGGTTTTATTTACTTGGGTGATTTCTCAAGAATTTTCTGTTAACTTCTACCCTATTGATTCATTCTAATTCATAGATGGCTGAGATTGGAACAGCTCTATTGAAAACATGGAATTAATTATTTTCTATACATGGGTTCTGTGCTAGGTGTTTTGTGTGTTTTCATTTAAACCCCAGCAAACATTTTTCGGTTAATTTTCCTTCCCTGGCTGGGTTATTCTCTTTACCACTGCCAGTTCTCTTGGAGAAGTCATACCTACTTTGGTCCCTTTTTCTCTGAAGAGAGACCCATTGCTGATGTGTACTTATACCCCTTGGTCTGATGGGTGGGGTTGGAAAGTTTCAAAAGATGGGAACTAATGGTATTCATTGAACACATACTTTATTGAATGATACTTTGAAAGTTAGTATTTACATGTCAAGTAGAAAAGTCTGTTTAGATGGGGATAGTCAGTGAAGGTTTTTAAATGACGTCTTAGTAGAGTAGACTTGAGCATAATTTGTTTTCTTGATTGAATTCTGTGGCCCAGACTTCAAATTCCTAGACTCAAGAGTGACGGGCTACAGGTGCACACCATGCAGTTTATATTTTTGCCTTATGAAACAATCTGATCTGGTTAAAAATTTTAATTCCTTGGTTCTATTAAATGAAGATTTTTGCTTTGAGAGCCTGGTTTCCATGTAACAGACAAGTTTTTTTCATGGCTCAGTCTGAACTGGCTTAATATGCTACATTCCATACTAGAGCTCTTTTAAAAACTTGCTGAACGAAAATACCATATTAAAGAATAGTGGGGGACCGGGTGTGGTGATGCATGACTAATCCTAGCCACTTTGGAGTCTGAGGCATGTGGATGGTAAGTTCAGTTTGAGGCCGGCCTCAGCAACTTGGTGAGACCCTATCTTGAGAATTAAAAGGATTGTGTTGTAGTGGTAAAGTACCCCTGGATTCAATCCATTGTGCCCCAAAATAGTGAATTCTAAAATTATTTTTCAGAGATGATTTGAAAAGAAAACACTGATTTTTCAAAAACTTTTTTAAGTTTAAATGTAAATAACAAATTTTTGAGAAATTTATGGGTGTTGGTATCCTTTTATTAAATACTTATTTTTTAGTGTAGTTGGACACAATACCTTTATTTTTATGTGATGCTGAGGATCAAACCCAGGGCCTTGCACTTGTTAGGCAAGCGCTGTACCACTGAGCTACAAACTCGGCCCCAACACTGATTTTCTATTTTAATTTTTTTTTTTTGTAGTTGTAGATGGACAGAATACCTTTATTTATATGTAGTGTGAGGATTGAACCCAGTGCCTCACGAATGCTAGGCAAGCGCTCTGCAACTGAGCTACAGTCCTAGCCCCAACACTGATTTTCATTGTTAAAAGTGATTTGATAATTTTAAGTTGCTAATCCAGGATATTTCTGGGTTGAGGCTATTCTGCTTAAATGGACAAGGTTATACTGTCAGCACTTAACCTCAGGAGTTGGTTTTTCAAGAGTAAATCCTTGCTTTTTGGTATACTGAGGATCCAACCCAGGGCATTGCATATGCTAGACAAGTGCTCTGTTACTGAACTACAGCTTCACCCCAAGAATAATACTTTGATACACTGAGTTTTTCTTTAGAGTTTGATTCATTCTGTTACATGTGTGGTCATCTGTGAGCTGGCTTTGTGTTTCACTAAGTACTGACTGCTTACTGTGTTGATTATGCAGAGAATATGCAGGTAAAGGCATAGTATCTATCCTGTCTGAGCCTTGGGTGTGCAAATTCTTGGAATTCAGGTGGAGATGGGAGTAGTCACACAATTTGGAGTGATGGCATGACCCAGCCTGGTTCTGTGAAGATCAAAAGACCTGTGAGGGAGATCTGGGAGTTTGATGTGTTAAAGCTTGCATTTGTTTTTGTTTTGTTTATGGGGGGGAGTGTTGAGGGTGCTTGGGATTGGTGTTAGGGCCTTCCCACAGACTCAACATGTACTGTACCACTGAGTTACACCCCCAGCCCTTGTGTTGGGACTTTCATTTTGACTTAAAAGGTCTTCTAGGCATTCTCCACATTGGGGTTGAAGTAAAGTAGACCCTTATGAGGATGGAGTAGTGAGGTGTAGTAGTGGCCCAAATATGAGTTCTCTATCCACTAGGTGCTGCTGTTTCCACTGCAGGTGTGTATTGCCACTTCAATTTGCTGGGATCAATATACTTAGTGCTCTGAGTTCTTAAAACATGATGTTCTGGGCTGGGGATGTGGCTCAAGCGGTAGCGCGCTCGTCTGGCATGCGGGTGGCCCGGGTTCGATCCTCAGCACCACATACAAACAAAGATGTTGTGTCCGCCGATGATTAAAGAATAAAAAAAAAAAAACAAAAAAAAAACCACATGATGTTCTGCAGAGATTTCCTAGAATGATTGTGATGGGAAGTCCCAGGATTCTTTCTGTATTATGTTTGGAGAACAGTAGTCCAGGTTGAAGCAGGAGAAAATAAGAGTTCCAGAAGGCCATGTCCCAAAGACCAAAACGTTGATGTATTTGAAGGTAATGAAATTTTGAGTTCATTTGAAGAATTCACAGCTGAATTTATTGGTCAAGAACAATGAAAGTAAATGAACCAGACACTGGGGTATACACCTGTAATCCCAGCAATTGTGCAGGTTGAAAAAGGATCTCAAATTCAACATCAAACTCAGCAGTTTAGTCAGACCCTATCAAAATATGTAAAAAGGGCTGGGATGTAGTTCGGTAAAGCACCCCTGACTTAGATCCCCAGGCCAAAAAAAAAAAAGTTAAGGATGAGGATACAGAAACTTGGTACTATAATATGGAGTTAATCTTAGTTGGAGCTGCTGTAAGAAACAAAATGAGTAACTTATACATCACAGAATATTCTCACAGTTGTGGAATCTGGAAATTTAAAAATCAAGGCACTAGCAAATTTTGATGTCTGGTTTCTGTGTTGCTTTCACAGGGCAGAAGCAGTGAGAAATCTTGGGTTTTTTTTGTAAGGGCAGGTAGAATCTTATTTGTGAGGGCTCTGCCCTCATGTCTTGATCACATCCCAATACTGTCACCTTGGGAATTTTTTTTTTTTTAATTATGGAATGATTAGGGAAGTATAGAGTTACTTTAGAGAGAGAATTTTCAGTGTTTATTTTTTTAGTTCTCGGCAGACACAACATCTTTTTTTTTGGAAGTGGTGCTGAGGATCGAACCCGGGACGCATGCATGCCAGGCGAGCGCCCCACCGCTTGAGCCACATCCCTAGCCCTCACCTTGGGAATTAGGATTTAACCATAGGAATTTTGGGGGAAACATTCAGACCATAGCAGGGCTCAACTTTGACATTTTCTTGGTCATAATGATGGCAGTACTTACTAAAAATAATTGTATTTAATTGATGAACTACATATGGGCAGGTAATGTGTGTAATAGCAATTCTCATTTTACATAATAGAAATCAGTAACTTTAAAAAGCAGCAAATGGAGGGGCTGGGATTGTAGCTCAGGGGTAGAGTGCTTACCTTGTGTGAGGCACTGGGTTCGATCCTCAGCACCACATAAAAATAAAAGTGTTGTGTTCACCTTCAACCACTGAAGGGGGGGGGGGGGACGACAAATGGAGAATTTTCTTATTCAGAAACAGGCCGAAGGAAAATAGTGGCTTCTAGGGAAGTTGGGGCAGAAGACTTAAGATTTTGTAAGTGAACCTTCAAAACTGAGCTGAACATTTATTCTAGGATTGCCTCAGTTGTCAAAGGCCAACAGAAAGCTTCTCTATCCACTAGGTGCTGGTGTTTCCACTAAGGGCTATGCCTGCTCCTTTAGTACCTTT